ACCCACTAAACAGCTCCTTCTATACTTATAATGCGCTGACATGTAATTAATAACACTTATTTCATTCTACTGTAATTGTTTTAATATCAGATGTACCCACCTAGAATTGGTTTTAAGTAATTCCAAGGCAGGGTCCACCTCTTATCTTTGTAAGTCCCTATTAACATAAACTCAGATACACAATAAGCACTTATTTGCTGAATAGAAGAATACATGTCAATAAATTGCTATTAATTCTCACCTTTCTTGGGGGTTTTCTTGAGAAATATATTTTGTATCTTCAAAAGAAAACATGAAGTCAATACCCAGGGCATTAGGACATGTCCCTTGGTGACTTAAGTCTCAAGATGTTGCGCTATCAGTACATCAGCAGAGACTTGTAGGCTGAGGACAGTTGGTTAAAAAACACCTGTAGCAGACACCTAAACACCTAAAAGCCACACATAGAACCTTAAACTTTCTAGACATTGAAGGGATTCATGTGAGAGCTCAAGTCAAAGAAGAATTTGAGCCTCAAACACTGTAGGACTCTGAAATCACAACCAAACTCAAAAGCGCAATTAACTGATCTATAAAGGTGGGGTGGAGGGGGGTATGGAAAATTTAAAAAGCCAGAACATTTCCAGAATACATATGCCAGGACTACATCATAAACTTAAGGTTATTAAAAAACTCTCACTCCCACTCAAGCCTCTGAAGGCTGAGAACCTGACTTATTCCTATTTGATTTGCTAATGTCTAGCACAGAGTATGTCACATTTAAAAACATAGGCTGAATGCAGTGGTTAAAATATCCACAAGTGAGGATTTAAAATAGGAGGACCTACAACAGCTCCCTTTGACCATGAAATATTTCAGTATTAAAAATTATGTAAGAACAATAGTCTTTTAACAAGTTTGACAATTTTTTTTTTTTTTACTGTGTTAATATCTTCCAGGGTTTTACAAACTTCTCCAAAATCATCCTAAAACTATTGTGTGTGCTGTTATGGGAATAAATCTGAGTCTAAAAAGGATGTTAGCTCCTCCCCAGCACAGACAGCCCATGTAGCCCTGAGTCTACACAATATCAACTTGTTCCTCTTCCAAATACTATTATTTTTAAAATATGAACTTTAATTCTTTACTCCAAATTATTTCATAAAGGTATCTGGAGAGTGCTTTAAGCATTAAGTCATGAAAGTGACAGATTTTAGTATTTTGGAATTTTATAAATGAAATATATTAATATCTCCCTGACTATATATATATTTTTTAAAAAAGAGCTACTGGGAATCAAGATAGATATTGGGCATACTTTAAATGACAAATAAACTAAATAAGTATAAAAAGATAAAAGGAGACAGAAAACAAGGGGCAATGGGAAATTCTAAGAATCATAATCTTTATAATCACTTATTTACCTGTCTACTATATCATTTATAAGGGAAAATATGGGCAAGCTCCTATGACAAGGCCATTTTTCTCTCCTTAATGCCCTTTTCTCCCCACTCATTCTAAAATAATTCTTCCCAGGTGTAACTGCTCTGGAATTAAAATCAAAAAACTTATAAAAACCTGACAGACATATGGGAATATGAATCTGCAAAGGTTCTTGCATTTATAATACAGCTAATACAATTTCCTAGACTTAATAGTGCCAGGCAGTATATTAAAACCAGTCTCATGAGGGTTTGGGGCTGTACAATATGTATTGATATGAGTTGGCTAGGGAATCTTGACCAAACCAGTTACTTTGTAGAGTCTGCATCCTCAACTAAAAAATGAAGGAATAGAATCCCATATTTCAGTGGTCCTTTAAACTTTCTTATTCTATGAAATCTGTGATGTTATACATATAGTATCAAAACTAAACAACATTCAAACCCAAATTCACATTTTCAAAACGAAGCATCTAATAATTAACAGCATACTGAAGTTTACACTTAAGTTAAAAACAAGTAAACTATGCATACTTAGACAGCAAAACATAGATATTTATCATTAGAAGCACTGGGAAATACACTCACATATTCACGTTTCTGGTACACGACAGGTTATTCCTCCAGTGGTGATTTTGTTTTCTCTAATTTCATCACATATTTCAATGGCAAAGAGGCTCTGATCAAGCAAGCCCATCCTTAAAAAACTGGAATCCAGATGCAAACCAAGTATTCTTTCTCAGTTCACATCATGTCATGTGATTACATCAACACATGGAAAAAAACTGGATGTTATATTTTCCAAACTGTCAGATGATTCTAAACTAAACAAAAAAAAATCCAAATCCCTAAAACCAATGGTAGTTCCTTAACTGAAGTATCTGTGACAATAACATTCAAGGGCAATTCACAGAATCATCCATCCTACCTGCAGATTCTCTCCCTCCCATCAACAGTCCAACACAGATTAGTTAATATCTGTGTAGTGAACTCTTAGCCCCTGGGACTAGACATGTCATGAAGAGAGAGAGAGAGAGAGAGAGAGAGAGAGAGAGAGAATATGAATAACAAGAAAATGTTTCCTCTGAAATGTGCCTCTCTCTCTCTCCCTCCCTCTCTCTCTCTCTCTCTCTCTCTCTCTCTCACACACACACACACACAGGCATAACTCCAGCCCAGACATTCACTCACAATTTTTCCTCGAATAAACAGGTTCCCCCAGAACACATGATGATCCCCTACAGGCTACAAATGGCCTTTTCTACAGGAACTCAACTTTCACTTGGCAAACAAAACCATATCCCTACCATGCATCCCTCACACCTAATCACCTTAGGGGGCTCCTCTGAAAGATCCAACTGGTAAAAAGATCTATGAAACCACCGCCTCCTTCAAGTGCACACCTCCTCTAAGCTGCCAGTCACCGTCCAAGGGCAATCGCTGGGCGCTGAGAAGAGGTACATGTTGAAGTCCAATCCAGCTTGCTGATCTCTGCAGTCACCAGTCCCAAGCTGAGCTCCCCACTCCCTCTTAGCCCTCAGAGGGGCCACAGCACCTGTCAGGCATCCTTCCCTTGCCACCTACAAAACAAAGCTAGCCCTTTCCTTTTGAATAATGTCCAACTAGAGAATCCTACAGGGGTGGCTTGTTTTGTTTTGACTACTGCTGTGGCTCTTATTTTTGTTAATGTTAATTACAATTTCTGCTGTGCTCAAACCTGTAGCACTCATAAAACATGCTTACACACGCGAGGGACAATTGGTGGTGCTCCCTGCTGGCTGGAGCCAGGCCTCAGAGGCTCTTTGGGGGATCGATTTTCTGGGCAAGGCGGCCTGGCTGTCCCCTAACATATCTGTTTCTATAAATACCCACTACCCACGGGAGGGGGGGGGCTGTTTACCGGGTCAGGGAAGGGAGCTCTGGGAAGCAAGGATGAAAAAAAGAGGGAAGACAGAAGGAAAGCGGCGAGGAGGAAGTTCCAAAGAAGAGGATCTCAGGGGTGGGCGGGCTCCTGAGGGGAAGTGAGGGGCCCACGCCACAAGTATTCCTTTGTGGCTGCAGCTTTGGCTCACCCAAGTTACAGAGGGCGGCGTCGAGGACAGGCCACAGGCCAGGGGCGTGGAGCTGCCCGCACTTCGCCCTTACTTGTCCCAGAGTCAGAACCCCACAAGCCCGGTGCTTCTGCCGGGGACCCTCCCGCCGCCCACCCCCCTGGCCACCCATGGGCTGGGTCTCACCGTGTGGGCTGCGGCGGCAGCGTTGCTGGCCCGGAGAGGAGGCAGGGCGATGGGGGAGGGCGGGCCGGTCCCCACTCCGCTCCGAGGGGCCCCCGCACCGGGCCCCGGGGAAGCCTGAAGCTGGCGAACAGCGCTGTCCCCTCCTCGGCCTGGGAGCCACACGCGGGAGGAGACAAAAGAGGGTCAGGGGGGAGAGAGTCATCCAGATCCCCCACCCCAATGGGCAGCGAATCCTCTTTCCCAGAAGAGGGAGGGAGAGAATGGGACAGCAAAAACGTGCATCAGGGGAGTGAGGGGGCGTCGGGACCGGTTCCCCAGCGCGCACCCACGGGCGGGGCTCAGGCAGCTGCAAAGTTAAGTCGGGCCCTGGCGCGCGAGTTCGCGACCCGCGGGGAAGCCGGGCTGGGCCTGAGCTTCGCGGCCCACGTTGCAGGCGGCCAGCGGCCAGGAGGGGGGGTTGGCTGGCCGAGGAGGGCGCAACGGCCTCTCCAAGCTTGGGACCAGAGGGGAGGAGGCCCGGACGGCCCCGCCAGAGCCCTCGCAGGTCGAACCCAGGCCGGGGAGGAGGGCTCCCTTCGAGGCCGCCCTGGGCCCGCGTGCAACAATGAGCGCAGCGGTGCAGAGGCCAGGGCGCACGGTCTGCCCGGAGCTCTCCTGCACCTCACCACCGACTTTGTTCGAGGTCCCGCGGGCAGCGGCTGCCCGCCCCGCCAGGGCTGATCCGGGAGCCGGGTGGGGGCCGGCTGGGGCGGCGCGGTGGGACGGCCCTCCTTACCGGTCGGGTAGGCGGCGGGAGCGGCGGCCGAAGGTTTCCTGGTTAACATGGCCGCTGGAGAGGAAAATGCATTTCAGGGCTGCCGTCTCCGCCGCCGGTCCCACTGCTACTTCTCGCGGCCGCCGCCGCCTCCTGGCCGCCCCTTACGCGGGTCTCCGACGCCTCCTCGCCGCCTCGCGTCAGCTACAGCCAGACACACACAGTCCGCTGCATCCCCTCGGCCCGGGCCCGCCACCGCGAGCCCCCCGCTCTCCTCTTCGCCGCCGCCGTCCTCCTCTTCCTCGGGCGGCTGCAGCACCCCCCGGCCCGTGCACATGCCTCGCCCTCCCCTGCGCACCGCTGGCTCCCCGTTTCCCTCACATAGGGGCGCGGGGAGCGGGCTGTGCCGCGAGGACCCACTAGCTCGGGAGCCTCCTCCCGGGCTCGCGCGCGCGCCCCCGCGCACACTCACACACCAGCGCCCGCGCGCGTCGCGGCCCAGGAGGGCAGCCCCGCCCCCGCCGTAGGCCCCTCCCCGGACTCCCCCCCGGCCCTAGCCACACACACTCACGTACCCCACCCCCACCCAGCCACCCACAGGAGTCCCAGTTCCACACCAGATCCTCTGCATAGCTACCCCCTCTACTCCTGCAAAACTCTGCCGCCCCCGCCTGCCCTCCTCCTGCCCCTCCGGCCATCTGCCCTGTTCCCGCAGGCTTCCCCACCAAGGATCTTTTCCCCTCCTTGGCCTCTCTAACCCCCCCCCACAACGCCCCTCTTTTGCCTTACTACTCCACCTACCATTGCTTCTCTCCTACCGAAATCTCCGCAGAGACCCCTCCCCATCCAAGCGCTCCCCTAAACACAAATGCATTTTCAGTTTCTAATGGCTGCTCACAAACAATACTGTCCCCTACTCCAAGGTCCCAGAGACTTAACCACCCCTCTCCAGTTTGTCATGTATATAACTTAGTTGTGCTAGGGTCACCCTGGAGAGTCAAGCCCCGAGGAGAAGCCCTTGCTGAGCCCGGTGACCCTGAGCGTGGACGATGGCGATGGGCTGCCCTCCCACCTCAACCTCAGCCACACACACCCTCCCCGATTTTACTGACACCAAATGACCGCTCTCCAGTCGCTAGGACAAGAGGAGGCAGAGAGAGGCTTGTGGACGGCATCTGGGGAAGCAGTTGGCTGTGGGTTGCTAGGCAAAAATAAACATCAGAGACACCTCCCATTTCCTTACAACTGGAAGCCTTTTCCCCACGCGGCCACTGGGAGAGACACACCTTCCTCTCTGCTCACTGCTGCAAGGGAGCGACACCTCTAAATTCTCTCGTCCTCTGGTATGATTCTTTCCCTTCCAAGACACGTGAAAAATTTCTCTGCCCTTTTAATTGGCCATGTACTACTTCTCTTTCCCATGAGTACCAAAAAAATTGCTTGCCCATCTCACACCTGCGCCTTGTGCTGCGTGGCACATTGTATGCCTTTGTCCAAAGGTCACCGGTTTTGCCATTTCAACAGTTACGAACGAGAGAGGAAAGCTGGGCAAATCTCAGATGACAGGGCAGAAAGTTATGCTGTGTATTTATTTTCTGAGAGGTATCTAGTTTTTGAAGTTCTCCTGGGGATACGGGTCCATTCCACTCCACCCAGCAGCGTGCGTCTTCAAGCCCCTTGCAGGACCCAGCTTGCAGGCCCAAACTAGTGCAGACTCCAAAGAGAAGGGAGCCAGCCACCTCCTGCGGAGTTCCATCGCCTCTACTGTTTGCAAATTGTCATAGCAACCTCCCACAGAGATCACCTTCAGTTTCATACAAAGCCAAAAGTTGAGTATTTCAAGGTAATGTGATCCTCCCAGTGTCTCTGGGCTCCTCTAATAGTATTAAGAGTAGGGGGCTTGGCAGAGAAAATCAGTTGTAAAGAGAAGAATTTTGCCTAATACGTCTTTCCAAAAAATTCTCTTGGGGTTTCCTCCTAAGAGAGTAAGACCACAGCAGAACAATCAGTCTAACTACAAGCTGTAGAAGCTGACCTAAATTGGTCCTGGTGAGGAATATCTCCCTATGCTTATCACTGAAGGCTATTACATTTAAATGCACTTGGGAAAACATATTTAGTGTTCAGAATTAACTGAAAGAAAAGGTTTACTAAGTAGCAGAGATGAAACTAGGACTGGTTTCCTCACGTCTGATGTCTGGTCTGCTATCCCTATGCTTGCTATCATACCACCTTACAATTTCAAGAAAGTTCTTTCTTCCTCCTTTAAAAATAATTATATTTATACTGTTTTCCTTTTTTAAAAAAGTATTTTTTTAGTTGTAGATGGACACAATATTTTTATTTATTTATATGTGGTACTGAGGATCAAACCCAATGTCTCACATATGTAAGGCAGGTGCTCTACCCCTGATCTACATATAGCCCAAGCCCCTGTTTTCCTCTTTTTAAAAATGAGTATTCCATACTACTGATGTTCAAATTTTAAAAATTAAATAAATAAATTTTAATATGAACTGACATTTGTATGCAGGTTATCTGTACAATACCTCAATGGAAGCTGAGTATACTGCTTTTTCATGAATAAGAAAAACACTAATTACTAGTAGTGTTTGATTACTTTGATTTTTAAATTAATAATATTAATTTGTATATTAAACATGTGGAAAAAAACATGAAGTTTTATTTTTTACAAACATAAAGAATCACTAATTAAGTCTGGCATGGTGGTACACTCTTCAAGACCAGCATCAGCAACTTAGCAAGACCCTGTCTCAAAATTCAAAAAATAAAATCAAAAGTACTGGAGATGTGGCTTAGTGGTAAAGTGCCCCTGTGTCCAATCCCTGGTATAAAAAAAAAGAAAAGAAAGAAAGAAGAATTACTAAGTTAAAAGAGACATGAGACATGTTGTTTAGAAAACTTTTCTTGGTATGTTGTTTCATTATATTACAAGAATAATTTCAATTTTATTTATTTACTTACCGAACATAATGAAAATTGGCAGTTAACCCAATTGTTAACCTTTTTTTCTTTTTTTTTATACTTAAGATGAAATCCACAGACCCTTTATCAGTGAACTTCATTCTCAGTCCTTTTATTTTTTTATTTTGATACAGGACCTTGCTAAGTTTCTGAAGCTGGCCTTCAACTTGCAATCCTCCTGCCTCAGCCTCCTAGTTCTTAAGTATTTTTATTATAATAGCATACCTTTGAAAATTATATTAATTCTTGCTGACTTCTAAACTATATTAACCATTGCTTGGATTTCTTGACCTCAGCCTGAATTAATATCTAGTAGAAAGATATACAAATGTTCTTGGGCATTTAGGGAAGAGTGAACTGGGTAAATTCTGGGAGTTATTTTCCTCAAACTGTATTATTATAATCTACACTTATGATTGCATAGTATACTGTATAATATAATTGCATAGTACACTATCTCTTTATAAAGTGCTCTCAAAAATATTACCATGTTTAATCTTCATAATTGCTAAATAACCAGAAATGATTTGTCTTTAAATAGCAACCCCCTTGAGAGCTCCATTCAGTTAGTAAGTCTGCTCTTTGGTTCTTGCCTGTTGTAAATCCTGTATCTGTTCTGTAATGTTTATGAAATCCAGATTCAAATAGTAAGTAGGTAGGCAGGAATTAGCTGAAGTAGAGAGAAAGAAACTTAGGGAAACTCAGAATTGAGACTTGTGGAAGGACGTTGATTTTTCACTAAGGAAAGTACTGATCACAGAGAAAATTGGAAACGAACAAGAAAATTACTGGCTTAAAACCACACTCACTCATTTAATTCCCTTATCCAAAACATTTACAAAGAATTTAGTATGTCTAGGCCTAGGAGATATAATGAATCATCAGATGTAGTGGGCTAGGCTTCAGTCTGGCAATCTAATACAACTTTTTCTTTTATTAATTTAAGCAATAAAAAATATAAGCATCTAACTATTAATAGTGGGGTCCTATGGTCTGAATGTTTTGTGTCCCTCCCAAGCTTTATAGCCTAGTGTCTATTAATGGAAACCCCACAGAGAGAGGAGGCATAGAGTTCAAAACCAATGGCCAGTGGTATCTACCCTTGCCTCTGGAGGGTGGGTCCATGGCCACAGCTGGCATGGAAGTCCAGAAGAGATTTCTGTCCTGCTAGAAGGTTAGTTATCTGAAGTGTCTATATTGACATCCTACCTGCCAAGGTGATGATAAGGAGTCTACATAGGTCTGAATAGAGTCAGATTAGGAATTAACTTAAATTTTATCTGAAAATGTAGAAACAAAGTACAAGGACTTTTATAGCAACTAAGAAAATTGCTAAGGAACTGGCTGTGTTATGGGAACACAGACTCTGGGTAATGTGAGTCTCATGCTTTTTAGGAGAACACTATTAATTAATGGTACCTTCTACACACCCCTTAGAGAACATGAAGATTTCGTGGCCTAGGGTTCCTTAATGTAAACCCCTCAGATGTAGAAGGCAGAGATGTCAGAACCCAGTGGCCAATGGCATCTTGCCTCTGGAGGGTAGATCCATGGCCACTCCTGATGTGTAAGTCTAGAAGATTTCTGTACTGTTAGAAAGTTGGTGATATAAAGTGTCCAGGCAGATTGTCTGTGTTTTGGTCAGCACACTTACAGAGCCAATTTCCTTCAAACTAAGTGCAAGAGTCAGATTAGGAATTAACTTAAATTTTATCTGGAAATGCAAGAGGGTGCATTTGTTTCCTATAGTAAGTTAAATATTTGGAAATGTCAGTGAATTATTCCATCATTTCTTGAGACCAGTTCATCTGCTTTTTTTTTTTTTTTTTTTCCAGCTGCATTCCAAAGACAGGATTAGTGTTGAAAACTAGAAAGTAGGTGCTGTATTTTGGTCTTGAATGCCCCCCAGAGGCCCACGAAGGACTTGGTTGCTAGCCTGTAGCACTGGGGAATATGACAGAAATTTTAGGAGGTGGGGCTTAGTGAAAGGAAGTTATATGATTTGGGGTATGTCCTTAGAGCAGATATTGGGCTTCCAGCCCTTTGCTGTTTGCCTTCAGGCGGCCACGAAATGAGCAGCTTTGCCCTACCAGCTGCTCCCCATTATGATCTGCTGCCTCAGCACAGACCCAAAAGCAATGGGCCAACCAACCATGGTCTGAAACCTCTGAAGCCATGAACCTAAATAAAACTTTTCTCCTCGTAAGTTATTTGTCTTGGGTATTCTGTCACAGCGAGGGAAAACATACTAACACAATAGTACAGGGAACATGTCCACAGCCCAGGGAAGGTCATGTGCAGCGTGCTTTCTTTTTGCCCCCCAGATCTACTCTCTACTCTTTCATCCCACTCTGTGCCACAGGAGACTTCACAGACAGAAGCAGGGGGTTTTCTTACCCACCTGCTTTTGCTGGATTTGGCCAATGGAAGGTACCAGCAAGAGATCAAAGGAGTCATTGGCAATGATGGGGGGCTGTTTATCTCCCTGGCTGTGTATCCCACCCCCTGCTTTTTATGCTGGCTAGTTGTCTAACCCTAACCCCATACAGTTTGGGGTTGTGAGCCATCCTTATATCTTTAGGCCCTCCAGCTCTAGGCTTCTGTGGGACAAAAACAGGACATAAATTTTATTCTATGTTAAGATATAGATTTGTTATGAGGAAAGTTCAGAAAAGTCCAGATCAGTATAGCTCTGCTAAACTATGCCTGGTCTGAGGGATGTCTAGACTTGGGCTAGATGGAACAGGTATAGCAGGAATCAAGGCTAAGGAATCCTCCCAAAGAGTAATAGTGTCTTCACTAACACCTTTACCTGCCTGAGACCTCTCAAAGTAATAACTGACATTTATGTGTGGTGCTTATTGCGTCAGGTAAAGTTCTAGAGACTCTACTCATGTAAACACATATAATTCTCTATCTTGTACAGTAGGTACTATTAGTCCTATCTTAGAGACAAGGAAATTGAAGCACAGACAGGTTAACCAACTTACCCAAGGTCATAACACAAATGAATGTCAATGCAAATGGTCTAGCTTTAGAATCTGTGCAGTTGCTGTTTGGGGCACTAAGTAGAGATTTGACCAGGCAGATCAGTACCATAATCCTCTCAATGTCATTATCACCACCAATAACTTTTCACATGGCAAAATGAACTCTTCGGTAAAGCCCCTCATGTTCCTGCAGTCAACCTCAGCAGTCTATGACCCAGGGCAAGCTTACTTTGTAAATAAGAACTGTGAGATGAAAAGAGCTAAGTGACCTGCAATAGATAGGAGTGGATTTAGAATTCAGATTTGTTGATTGCCAACAAAATTTTCTTTTTTTTTTTTCTCTCCCAAATTAGATTATTACAAAATTTCTTTTAGGTACTTATAAAAACATATACCATAGGATGATCAAGTTTTGATATTGTGGGATTTGGGGAGAAAATTCTTGTGGCCACAGGAATGATTATAGTCTGGACTTTAAGAATAAACTTGGCCAGATTCACAAAAAAAAAATTAAATACAATTTTATTGTTTTCTCTTTGTTTTATTATAGCTAATCTGCCCCCTTTGCCTCAGGGGAATGGAAAAAGAACAACAACAAAAAGAAGTGTCCATGGCAGTTGAAGTGGGGGTTCTTCTAAACAAGACTACCCCCTAGGGTAATTCATATTTCCCTAGGACCTGAAAGAATTGCTTTTAATTAAATCAGACGTTTAGCCATATCTATACTCTTATTCAAGTTAAAGACCAGGTTGGCCATATATTGGTTCATTTAGGTTGGGTAATTATTGTTAAATAGTCCTGGACTATTTTTAGAAAATATCTTTGATGAAAAGCCTCTTTAAATATTATTATAGACAATACCTTGTGCTTGTTAGTATCTCTCATAAGATGGTACTGGATCGATTCATTGTTCACACAGCAGTATTCTCCAACAAAGGGTCTGAAATACAAAAACTCTAGAGCAAACACTTGTGCTTAGCACATGTGCAGATGAATGGCCCTTGATCAGCCTCTTCAACTGGCACAGATAATAAAAATTAGCCAGGACATAATGAACTACTGATCGGCAGATAATAATGGATATGAAGAAGAGAGCAAGAGGGAATTTGTTAAGTGATCATTCCTTTTTAGAGAAAAGGGAAAAAAACAATTTTATTATAACCTGGAAGGAACAAAAAATAAAGTAACTGGCAGACTGGAGAGAATAATGCTCTAATAGAATAGGAATGGATAAATAAATCATGGTGTGCTAGACAGAATGAAGAGCAAGAAAATGGGTGTGGAGAGAGAACAAGAATAAGAGAGAAGAAAATGAGAGAAACTTTAAAAATTTTTATAAGAGGAACATGATAAAATGTGAGGTAAGGCCATGCATGAGATAAAGGTGAAAACAAAACTTAGAAATATCACTGGAATGCTGCAGACAAGCTATTTTCTTATAATGCACATCTTTATACCTGAAGCTTACATTATCTAGGGGCTCCTTAGAACAGATTGCATTATGCTATAGGGCATGGAGGTTGGTCAGGTCACTGTCTTCTACTCTCTGGCCACACAATTTCATCTGACCTTGCAGGGGCACTTACAGTTTCTCTGGTGATACTTTTCCACCTCCCCCAAGGCTGAGAAGTGGAAAAGAGAAGGAGTCCCTTCAATACAGAGCTGCATCCGCATGGCTGATCCAAGCAGAAACCAGGGGCTCTTCCTCTTTTAGTGAAGGCCTGTTTCTGTGGTGCTGTTTCCCAACTTGGTCCTTATTTTGCTTTTCCTTGTGTGCCTATCTCTTGAACAGAATTGCTTCTTCTAATGATGCAGCTATCAAGACAGCAGCTGGGAAAACGTGAAAACTCAAAGAATTTATGCAAAGAAATACTATGTCAGGCATGTGAGCTCGACTAGAATTGCATATTCCTGCTGAGACTCACTCAAGCACCATCGTATTTGCAAATGGGCACGTGGATGAATAAGCTAACCTGGTAGAGAAAGATGATCCAAGGCCAAGACGTTATTGCATATTTCAGATATTTGAAACAAACAAAAAAATCTTTATGCCACGGTCTTGCTTGAGTTTTTCTTCCTTGAGAAATGAAAAATCAACACAATTTTTTTTTTGATGAAAGCAGCCTTTATGTAAAGTTGTTGTAAGTTGAGAACACAGATCCCATTAGATGACTAAACAGCTATAATCCAGTTATTTCACAAGAAGAAAATAATACAATGGTCCTCAAAAAATAAATGGAAAAGAGAAAGACTCCATTTTTTTTTTAAATTCATAAAAGGACTTTTCCATGGAGTAACTGGCACTGAAGGCTGTCTAAAGGAATGGTTATGAAACATTGATTTTCTGAAATCCTGCAAGGTCTTACAAAGTGCCCAAGAAATCACTGAAAGCATATATGGCTAGCCAGCTCTGCAGCAGGGCCCACCGAAGCTCAAGATCAAATTTTCAAGAGCAGCTTATAACTTCCTACCCTATGTCAATACATCTCCTCAAAGTTGACGTAATGCCTACTGAATTGAAGGGTTGACAACTGCACCTGTTCATCAGCTTGCCTTTGAGTCAAGTTTTTCTTATCTCTCTTCCTCTTCCATAGCATTCCAGTGATCATTCCCATCATTAAAAATTTTCCTGAGAAGATTTGGCATTATCTATGAAGCAGGAGTGGGGAACTGCGAACTAAAATTGTCCTTCATCTCTCTAAACCCCAAGTTGATTTTTATTTCCATCTCAAGCAATAGAAGACTTTTAAAATTCCCTAAAGAAACTGATGAAATTTTGGTTTGTGCCTTAAGGGACCATATATAAACTGATCTTGAGAAAAATGACAACGAAATGTTTTCCTACATTTAAAATATTATGATGATGACTTTCAAGTGGTAATGTCAACAATCTAGAACACAGCAGAAGACAAGAAAGGAATGTTTTATTCTACATATACACAACTGGTGTAGCAAAACACATGCAGCACATAATCCAGACATTTAATTGATAGAAGAATTATTCAAACTTTTGTTCAAAAACAATCCACGACATGGTACAAGGGTCAGATGGCCTAGTACCAATCGAAGCTCTGCTGTGTACTCATTGTGTGGCCACTGGTAAATGTCTCAACCTCTCTGTATCATAGTTTTCTAATCCATAAAGTACTATCTCCATTAGGGTTCCTATAAGATTAAATAAAATGATCTACTTTAAATGCACAGAACAGAACCTAGCACATAGAAAGTATATACTACACACAAGTAAATACTATTTTATATACTTTTCTAGTAAACCTGGAAGTCTGGATTCCCAGGCAATTGTCTATTAGCTTTAGTAAATCAGGAGAGGTGGGAGGGTACTAGTAAAAGGTCCCTTGATAATTCGCACTTCATAAAGAGACTGAGAAGTTTCCAAAAGTACGCAAGAATCCAAAAGGCATAGCAGCTTCAAGCCATAGAGCATCATAGCCAGCAATTTTTAAGTGATTCGCCCTCACCTTTCTTTTGCTTTTCCTCTCTAGTGACTACACATGAGAGAAAACATACAACCCCTGACTTTCTGAGTTTGATTAATTTCACTTAATATGGCGGTCTCTACTTTCATCCATTTTCCTATAAATGCCAAAATTTCATTTTTCTTTATGGCCGAATAAAATTTCATTGTGTATATATACCATATTTTCTTTATTCATTCATCTGTTTATGGATACCTAGGTTGGTTCCGTAGTTTGGCTATTGTGAATTGTGCTACGATAGACATGGGTATCCATGTATAACTGTAATAAGATTAAGTCTTCAGGATGAATACTGAGGAGTAGAATAGCCAGGTCATATGGTGGTTCCATGCCTAGTCTTTTGAGGAAACTCCATAATGATTTCCATAGTGGTTGGACTGATTTACAGCCCCACCAACAGAGTAAAAGTGTTCCTTTTTTTCCTACATCCTCTCCAGCTTTTAGTATTATTCTTGATGACTGCCATTCTGAGTGGTGTGAGATGAAATTTCAGTGTTAGTTCTGATTTGCATTTCCCTAATTGCTAATGATGTTGAACTTTTTTTTCATGTATTTCTTGGCCATTTGTGTTTCTTGTTTACTCTCAATTATTTTAGAAGAGGGAAATGGAGACCCACCTCCTTCAAATCTATGGGTATATGTGGAAATGAAATCACACAGAGCAAGAAACTCTCAGGAAGTTCTCTGGAAGATATATCTCTTCCTAGATCCTTCTCCCATCACAGTGCCTGAACCAGGGTCCAGCAGCCTGCTTAGCATATCAACATGAGTTGAGTATCATTGTTCTGCTAAGTTGATCCAATACTCCCCAAACTCTTGCTTATCAATGAAAATTTCCAGATAGAATGATAGAGAAAATTAGTTACTAGGAAAAACTATGAAAAATAGAGTCATGTTGAAAATTTCTCCATGTGTTTATTTCAGACAGAGCCAGTCTTTTTCCATTAGTCTGTGTAATTTCCAAGGTCAAACGTCTTTTCCAAAAAGATTCTAGGAGAGTCTTACAAAATATCAACCTATTTGGAAGCAGCAGAGCATGACTCTATTTTATTCCACATCATATTCAATTTAATGCTGACAACTTAAATTTGAGAAGATTTATGCAAAAAATAATAACCATTGATAACTGTCATTTTTAAATTCTGAAAAAAGGACTTGTTTTTTTCTATTATTATTTTGCTTTTGCACTTTTGTCTTTGAATATTAAGACTTCTATATATTGAAACAGAAATTTCAGATCATATACCAAAAAAAAAAAAAATGGCTTCCCCTGTGTAGGAGAAGTAATTGTCATAACTATGTAGAACTTAATGGTTCAGTTAGTTAATAATTAAAATTGTGTGCAAATGGCAAAGTTAGAAGTTATAGACCCAAAGCAAGCTTATAAATAAGTTTTCTTTGCTTTATAAAAGGCTTTTGAAAATGTGAACTCAATGCCAATATTTTGAAAGTGAGACTTAATATAAATATCAATTTTGGCTTTCCTGGAAATAAGGCAAAAATCTAGCTGTGCTATCCTCCCTTTCAGTCTTGCAAGGCAGTGAAGGACCCTCCCCTCCCTTCCACCTTCTTGCACCCCTCAACCCTCACCTCAACCTTGCGCACTACAGATCACTGCAGTCCTTACCACTTCCTGTTATTGTGTGTGTCTTAGGCTAACTTTACCTATCGACAGTACCTGCCTTTCTCCACCAGGCACTTTGGTAAAAACCTACAATGAATTTTGTATTTCCTGAAATGCCCTTGTCACCTACTCTATGGTTTTAAATTTATTCTTGCTCTTCTTCCTTTTTATCACTTATATTCCATTTCTTGATACTACTGTCACAATGAACAGAAGTCAATTGTGATTTGGGTATTCATGCCTAGACCTTTCCAACTAGTTTTGTGCATAGATACATATCTGGCACAAGAAACATTGTTTTCCTCTTGTACTTGAAAATCAAATCAGTTTCTACTTAGTTCCAAAATATTCAGACACTAAGACCACTGTCTATACAAAAGCTAATACAGTAATATATGCACTGTTCTGCTCTTTGGTGACCTAATACAAAGTTACTGTAGATAGTTAGCTCTATTTTGGGACTCTTTATACATTTAAGCACATAAGTGATATTCTTACAGTTATTAATTTTCTTTTCTTTTCTTTTTTCTGAAAGTAGTTAAGGTCCTCAACTTCATGTAGAATTTCATAAGCATGGTTTGGATCAAGCAGTGATTCACATGTGTCTCAGTGCTATAGTAGCACTCAGCTGAAAGGAATACATTCAGGACACAGATGAATCTTAAAGCAAACTGCTTATTCAGCATCACAACTTAGATGTCTAATAAATATCCTGAATGCCATGTAGCTAATACTAATGCATGAGTTCTACCCTTCCTTCCCTGTTCTTCCCAGTGTGTTTTGTGTTTCAGCACATAGCTGCTGAGAGCCATAGCCAAGTAGGAATGACGCATGGCAATTTCCTTGTCAGTCTACCCAATGTTGTTTAGAGGGAGGACTCTCCATTGTGGAAATGGGCTTGCCTTGGACCCAGGTCATTTGAAGTGACATTGCATGAAAGGTGACCTTGCTCAGGGATTAGGGCTGATCCAGGTTTAGGGCAGGATCTGGGTTTAGGGTGGTTCCAGGTTTAAGGTGGATCCTGCTGGGAATAGGGCGCATCCTGCTGCCTTAGGGGCCCACTCCTTGAGTTTCCCTTGAGTTCTCTTGGGATTCAGAGGGTATTTTGGTACACAGAGCCTGGTGGAGGTAGTGGATTTTCCCCAGAACATGCGTGTAGGGTGCCGGTGAGAGTTCGGGAATAAAGAGTTGCTGTTTGAATCTACAAGGCTTTTGTCGTGGCTCGGTTATTTTGTGCCCAGCCAGACTGCGGCACATAGCGTCTCCAGCCTTCCAATCTCTCAGGCCAAACACCTTTGAGACATTCTTGACTTCTCTCTTGCTCTTATACCTCACATCCCATTCATCTGCAAATATTGTTAATTTTGCACTCAAAAATATCCAAAAGTCACCTATTTCTCACTGCGGTCACTAATATTCCACGATCAAAGGCACACTCTCCTGAATTACAGAAATAGTCACCTAACTTGGTCCCCGTTGCCTCCTTTAAACTTGACACAGTAATCATACAGATCTCTTTCAAACACAAGATTATGTCACCCTCATCTCAAAATTTTCCATTAGTTTCCCATCAGCCAAGTAAAAGCCAAAGTGCCTGGAATAGCCGGAATCTCCTATATGATTTCCTTGCTGCTCCTGTCCTTCTCTGATGCTGTCTGGTTCCACCCTCCCTTGCTCACCCTTTCACCCATCCTGGCCTTGCTGCTGAACCTCAAACACTCTAGACATGCCCTCACATGCACTCATCTCATTCCCTGCAATGCTCTTCCCCTGGAAAGCCTCACTCCTACAGGTCCGCTTTTAGGTGAGTTCAAGCCTGACACTCTATTTATAATTGTGAAGCCTATTTGTATTTTTTTAATATACTTACTGCTGTCTGCAATATATCTTTACTCATTTGTTTTCTCTTTATCTCCCTCCACTAGAATATATGCTTTCTGAAAACAGGGACTTTTGTCACTCTTTGTTCTGCTGCTGTTGTTTTATACCCAGAACAGTGACTGGGACTTGAGAGTCCCACAATAAATATTTGATGAGTAAATTAGGTAGAAATGCCATCAATTTAAACTCTATTTTCAGAATTAAACTCTTTAAAGGAGGAGGCATGCTTCCAATCTGGAGCATCTTTATATCATCTTCAAAAGAACAGGAAACAAAATAAAAACATTTATTTCTTACATTCTTTGGACAGGACCCACGAGTCCTGATTTATCAAAACTAAGCCTGTGGGCTGAATTCCAAAGGTGTGGAACCCCTATACATGAGGTTCTATAAGGAAGTTCTCTACGTTGAGATATGCCATGAAGGCAGAGAGTTCTGTTATGATCTTTGGGTGACTCTGCTCACTTTTGTCAGAGGCATCCAGGATTTGAAGGCGTCTTAAATAGGGCCTTTAAAGGAGGCGTGCTGAGGCCACTTGGCTGTTTCTGGGTCTGAGTTCTACTCTGTCAATTTGATAGCACCACAAACTGCTGCATTTGTTTTAAAATCTGCCGGTGGGTTAAGAAGTTCCAACTCTTGGCCCTAGATTATTAAAACGTAGCATGTTGCTTCTGAACTTGAACAAATAAAGCCTCAGGGAAAAAAAGACAAAAGCCAAATACAACAGAAACATCTGCCACTTTAGTGGCAACAACTATAAAACAAAAACAAAGTGGACAACACATTGGCCACATTAAGGCCTCTGTTCACTGTTGATTTGTT